CTCCCTTGGTTTATATTCGGAGCTCCTACTCCTAGTCCGTAACCCTGGACAGGGTTTGTGTTTGGTCCGCGAGAGGTATTTTATTTCCCTCAAACCCTCCCGCTATTGGCAAGCCAATAGCAAGCCTCCCTATCCGCCACCTGGGACGCGCCACGTCGGGGTTCACCTCCCCGCCCATTTAGACTACTATGTAGGTCCGTGTGTGTGTGTGTGTGTGTGTGTGTGTGTGTGCGTGTGTGTGTGTGTGTGTGTGTGTGTGTGTGTGTGTGTGTGTGTGTGTGTGTGTGTGTGTGTGTGTGTGTGTGTGTGTGTGTGTGTTTTCCGAGCCTGAGGCAGGGAAATCTTTATAGGCAGCTCACTCTAGCCGACAGAGTGGGTAGTGTTGAATTCACCAGACTGGTGTGCCTACCAACTAAAACCTTCCTCCCTTCAAATGGCTCTTTCGCCTTCTAGTCTCTACCGGGATTTCGTCCTTGCGGTATTGTTTTGGTGGGACCTATTGTGATCGTGAACAATAGGTTATGTGTATGTATGTATGTGTGTATGTATGTGTGTATGCGTGTGTGTATGCGTGTGTGTATGCGTGTGTGTATGCGTGTGTGTATGCGTGTTTTTTTTTTTTTTTTTATAAGGGGTTGGGTAAAAATCTTTTAAAGACCAGACGGCCATTGTTGACGAAGCCGTCGAAACGACCTCGGCACCAATGTGCCGTCTTGTGTCGGAGTCTCCAATATGTGGTATACCGACTAAAAACCCTTCGTCCTACGGCCATGTTATAACGCATAGCCGCAACACGAAATTCCCCTGTCGACTTCTAGCACCCACCGGTACTCCTTTTCAGTATTACTTCGGTGGGGCCTGTTCTGATCCCGAAGGATCCCTCTTCGTTTGCTGTGATTCTCAGCCCATCAGTCTTGTAATCTCTTCAGTCTCTTCCTCGCGTTTCTCTCTCCTTTTCTTCTTTGGTCTTCATAGCTCCCCTAATAAAGGTAGCTATATGGTCCCATCTCTCTCGCGTCGTCAACATGGTCAGTATCAGGTTGTCCTTCGTTATCCGAGTCAATCCTAGTTCTACTATCAGTCTTTGTCTCTCAGGTTCGTTTGCAGGGCACTCAAATAGTGTGTGCTCTGCGTCGTCCTTCTCTACTCCGCAAAAAGCACATTTGCTGTCTAGACGAAACCCTCTCTTGGCCCGGTAGACTCCAAAGGATCCATGTCCACTCAGTGCCTGGGTGAGGTAATAGTCAACCACTCCGTGTCCTCTGAGTACCCATTCTCTTAGTCTTGGAATGAGCTCGTAGGTCCATCTTCCGTCTTTTGTTGACTCCCAATTCTGTTGCCATCTTATCAAAAGTGTTTCTCGCGCTTCTCTTCGTATACGATTCCTCTCTTCCTCAGAGAGGTCTCCTTGTCGCTGCCGTTGTTCCTCTTCGCTCTTCCAGATCTCTTCTCTTTCTATGGCTAACAGTCTCACTGGAGGTACTCCTGCCAATACATTCGCTGCGTCCCTTGAGACCGACCGCCATGCGCTGATAATGCGTAGGTTCATCTTACGCTGAACCGATCCCATATGTCTGTCTACATCCGCTGGCAAGGCCCGTGCTGCCCACGTAGAGGCGCCATACAGTTGGATGGAGTCCACCACTGTTGACAGTAATTTTCTACGTGTTGGCCATGGGCCTCCTATATTAGGCATGATCCTCATGAGTGATGTGCAAGCCATCGATGCTTTCGTTGCTGCCTGCTTGTTATCTAGCCATACTCCTAGGTATTTTATTTCACTCTTTAAAGGAATAATTTCTCCGTTTATTATAAATTGGGGAGGGTTGAACTTTCTTCTCCGCGTCACTAAGATAGCTTCACATTTCCGAACCGTTAACTGTAACAGCCTGCTAGCTAGCCACTCAGCGATCAGCTCCAGGGCTTCATTTGCAATGGCCTCCACCTGCTCTACCATTTCTGCTACCACCAACAATGCCAAGTCATCAGCAAACCCAACTAACGATGCTCCATTAGGTAGTTTCAGTCTCAGCAATCCGTCGTACATACAGATCCACAGGAAGGGTCCCTTTATTGATCCCTGCGGCACTCCCGCTGTCAGGTCGATAGTTATTCTGCCGTTTTCGGCAATTATAACTAGTGTTCTATCCTTCAGGTAACTATCCAACATCTTCAGCATATAATACGGCATCTTTTTCTCTTTTTCGAGAGATTGGTATATTCGCGATCCATATCTCCATTCTGTTGAGAATGAGTCTTTCGAGCAGCTTCCCCGTTGTATCTATCATTCCCAATGGTCTGTACGTTGAAGGATCCGCGGCAGAGCTTGTTTCCCCCTTCGGTATCAGTACCAGCTTTTGTCTCTTCCACCTGGTTGGGAAGATTCCTTCAGCTAGACATTTGTTAAAAACATTTAGCAGCATCTGAGGGTTCCTGAGAACTATCAATCGCAAAACCTCGTTTGGAATATCGTCTAATCCTGGGCTTTTTCCAGCATTTAATCTTTTGGCTGCGTTCGTCAGTTCCTGTAGGGTAAATGGTTCTCCCGGTGAACCACTTGCTTCTTTTGGAAAGCTCGTCCGAACTTCACCTGCAGGGAATAATACTTTAACTATTCGACGCAGGCTCGGTTTATCGTTTGGAACGTTCGTCCCGAATGTCTTTCGTAGCTTTCTCATCACTATCTTATACGGTAATCCCCAAGGGTCACGATTTATCGTCTCTATTAAATCCTTCCAACATTTATTCTTGCTCGAGATGATTGCAATTCGCAGAGTTCTTCTGGCTTGTTTATAGTCCTGCTGGTATTCTGACATATTTGGCCGGTTCGCTCTTCTCGCTCGCTGATACTTGCGTCTGCATTTATTGCATTCTTTCCTCAGCTCCGCCAACTCTTCACTCCACCAGTAAGCCGGTTTCCTATGGTATTGTGCTGGTCTGCGCGGCATGGACGCGTTACATGCGTCCGTGATGTCCTGCATAAGTCTTTCTGCTGCCTCTTCCGCTGTACATCCCTCCATGCTAGCTATTATGCTAATTTTCTGCCCGAAGATTTCCTTATCTATTTTTGTTAGACTCTTCCAGATCTCGTAGCTCCATCGTCACTGTCGGGACCAAAGCTCTTACACTCAACTGGTCACCGACAGCCGAGCGTATCGCCACACTGATGTCCTCGAGTTTGGAGCCTTTTATCAACTCTAGCAAAAGGTTGACATTCTTTGTTTCCCGCACCTTACCAACCTGGGACCCCACCTGTTCGGTGCTAACCTTTTTTTTAACTTCCTTCAGCATATCCGAAAAAGAGATTTTATTTTCTCCATTTGCTCTTATCAGCACTGCTTCCGGCCTTGACCTTGGAAGGTTTTTCCTTGGCGGAACTTTTCTAAGAGTTGGTTCTCCTCTGCCTTCTTGACGTCTTTCTTCTTTCTTCTTAGGCTTTTTCTGCCTTCGAGCCACTTGCCAGTCTTCTTCAGCACGTCCTTGCGGTATTTCTTCCGTCTCCTCGCGGTTGCTCTGGGATTGCCTTCTTACCGCTCTGATTTTCCGGCTAGCCTGATCTGCTGGTATATCTTTGTAGCCTTCGATCCGGCTAACAGCCATACGACCCTCTGTGGCACTCACCTTGGCGGCCCTACATTCAACAGAGGAGGACTATTTGCAGGTCTCTTTTTATTCCTATCTTCATCCTCATTTGTTGTCTGTCTCAGCGTATCCTCTAATCTATCTTCGAATACGTTCTTTGCCTCTGAATTTTTTTGCCGCACTTTCTGCAGTCGCCTAAGGTACGACATGGCCGCTTCGTGATCGCTCTTCACATTCTTGTGAATGTTTTTAGCAGGCACTATCACCTTCTCGATAGCAAGCATCCTGTGCTCCAGCGCATTTAAGAGCTCTTGCTCTCGGTTGTCGCCCTCTATTAGCTGCTTCCACAAGCTCACCATCGAGTCTGCACATTGCTGGCCATCGTCCCCTTCTTTTGTCCGTTCCACGTCTTCTTTTGTTGTTTGTTTTTCTTTTGTATCCATTCTGATCCCACGAGCAGCTAGGGAAGATGTCGTCGATCCCACGCAGAGCCCCGCATGCGTGGGACAAGGCTAGTTACGAGGGAGTTTCGCCAGGTGCTCCCAAGGCTCCGTTTGAGACTCTCTGTTACCCCCGAGAGCCAACAAGGCTACATCGGCACGGGTCGCTTCACACCTTCAGCTTGGGGGTCCGTTACCCTGAACGGGGACCCTTTAACAAGGTGCTATCATCCGGGCCAGATGAGCCTTGGTTTTTTAACGAGGTTGATACTCCTCCCCCTCCTCATCCCTGCATCTTGAGTAGCAGGGTCCCGGGCTTGGGACCGGCAGTGGCGGAGTTATGTATGTATGTATGTATGTATGTATGTATGTATGTATGTATGTATGTATGTATGTATGTATGTATGTATGTATGTATGTATGTATATAAAATAATGAATGAAAGGATTATACTTAAAAAGTTGATATTTTGTACCATTTAACTACGCTTAATATGAAAAATATGAAAGTTTAATATGTTCGTCATAAAACAACGTTACTTCCGATGTCGGGTTCTTGGTCCAGCATTTGACTTCTCCTTAAATGGTGGATAAGGGAATGTTCATCAGAGGTCGTTCATAAGAAATGTAGATTTTGACACATTTAGAACATCTTTCAATTACTAGCATAAACTTTCACTATTAAAGTTTCTCAAGATCAAAAGGAACAATACACTTTATGTTACTTAAATAAGAACGGTGAGTAACAGAATTAGTCCAGGGTGAACCAAAATCAGTTAAATGAGTTTCATAAAGCTATATTATTTCATTAAATGGATATCCTTGTAAAAATTGAGAGATTGGCAAGCAAAGTGAACAACTTACCCTCGTATGTGTTTATGTGTATAGTGTTCAAATCAAGCGTTAGAAAATAAAACGACAATTAATACGGTGTGTATTTTTTTCATTTAATAACTATATTTTCATCGTCTTAAACTAGGTTTGGGCAGTTTATTGTAGCAACGTTACCTTTGACTTCTGAAAAAAGTCTTATTTTGAGAGAAGGTGAAGGAAATAAAGAAGGAGAAGGAGAAATCATTCTCTTACGCAATCGTTGTCTTCAATTGTTTCATTCACTTTTATTCAATGGTTCGAAAATCAATACAAGGTAGTTTAATGTTACTTATAAAACTATGTGAAATTTTACTATAAATACTAATAGCTATGAATTAATATCAATTCGTTTGCTGTTATGACGCTGTACATATATCTGAATTGATCTATCCTGAAAATTAACATATTTCTCATTTTAGTATATGCGATGAGGTCTCAAAAGTATTAGGATTAGACTGGATATTGCTATTTCTTCAACCAGGACTTCATAGCACGACTGTTATATGGGGTCTGAGAATTCTCGTTGCTTTGTGTTCAGTACAACCACTTTTGCAGAAATTTAAAGATGGCACACATAGCGGAGGTTGGTTACGATATACGGATCACAACAAGATAGGTATTGTACTAGGTATTTAATCGAACTTGGTTTATGATGAAAAATATATTTTATTTGTTCGATGGAATCTTGGAATTTTTGTATTTTTAGGATATTCTCAGCAAATAACAAGCGGAGAAACAAAAACAGCAGGGCAGCATGTTCCAGGATTTCAACATCTAGGATGGTTACTTTCACAACATGTAGATCTGGTTCCTGAACTTTATTTCTTATTTATTGCTTTAATGATGGGACAGCCAATAAAACTACTGCCTGCTGATTCTAAAGTAATTATTTTCGCATAAAAGTATTTAACGTTTGATTGAAAAACAGAAACAATTCTTTAATGATATGTTTTATAGCTCGACTTGGACAATGTATGGAATTTCATGTTTGGTGTACCTGCAAGTTACTCTCTATCTTCATTTGCACCTAGAATAAGCCTATGTCCTGAAGCTATTGTGACACTTTTAACGATGGTCCGAACTATGATTTATAATTGCTCAAGGTACAATATATATGTAGATGAATATTAAAATCAATTATATTTGTCTCAAAAATTGTGTGAGACATCGTTAGCGAGGCAAACGATCGGAAAAAAAAAATTTTTTAAATAACATATATTTATACCATGAAGAAATTTTTGCAAATTTTACACAAAAAATGATAACATTTTGTCAAGTTATCGTTGCGTTTATCAAATCTACTAGTTCAACTAGAATAATTCTTTGTTTGCGAGTGCATTTAAAAAGTTTATTTTTATTACAACTGTAATCAAAAATTTGTTATAGTGAAATTTCTTAAAACAAGTAATTATTCTGTTCGGATAATAAGTTCTTTATTTTGTTAAAAAAAGTCGCAGTAATACTTGAAATGCGTATAGATAGCCACATAGCAAATATAATACGATATTTTAAATAATTTCAGCGCCGACTCTTCACCTGACTGGCTAAGTGACTATCCAGTGACAATAATTCAGTTTCTATTCTTTCTTTATCATAATTTCACGGATTTTATGCAATTGTTCATGAGTGCAGATGTTTTGGGAGCTTTAGCCGGAACACTATTTCCTAAACCTAATAATTCTAGTCTTGACAGCAGTGGTACAAGTACTCCGGCTGACGAGGTAAACAAAATTTTAATTCACTCCGAATCGCCTTCTAGCTTGCAACATTTAAAAAAGATTTTTATTCAAATTACGTGAAAATTCTAGATTGAAAAAATTGCATTGGTTCAATTAGTACATTGTCTTAACAAAATTAAACAACAAATTTTCGATAATTAGCGACTTATTAATAATAATAAAATTTATATAGCAAGAGCCAGTACTAGTAAAATCGCCGTCGAAGGATTTGGGATTGACAAATCATGCAGTACGAAAATTTGTCATGGACTTTTTACGAGTTATTGTAGTCGATTCGCTTTCTTTACCTGTGTCAACAAAATCACCTGCCGCCATAGATCTCATCTTGGACGCTTGGCCCGAACATGCGTCTACAAATCAACAGACCCAGTACCAAACAGAAATTTTATCTATTTTAATGGATCACTTATTGGTAGCTGATATTCTTATTGGTGAACAAGCGGCCTTGCCTGTTGTCCCTGGTGGTTCTCCCAATAACATTACGAACAATGTGTGCTATCTAACGGCTCGAATTGTCGACAAATTGTGGCAAGGTAAATTCATCACCGCTTAAATCTAGCCTCAGAATATTATATCGATTATAATTTAATTATATTTTTCTCTTCATAGGCTCATTAATCAAAGATCCTCATGAAGTATTTGATTTCATAGTTAAACTTATTGGTCAAGCAAAACGAAGACCTGGTTCTGTAAGCATGGAAGGTCTTCATCATTGCTTAAATAGAAATATTTTGTTTTTATTGTCCCGATCTACTGATTCTATTGCTGATCAAATGGCTGTTTTAGAAGCTCTGCATAAACTTACAACACATAGGTAACAACATATTTTTTTATTGATAAATAGCGTCTCTCATTGTTCGCCTAAATATTTTAACTTATTGTTTGATAGGTTGCTTGTGTTTGGTGCTGGAAATCATGAATTAGAATTTATCGGATGTTTAACATATTGTTTATTACAATTGACAGCCGATATAAAAATAATGTTAGATACTAATATGAAGACTACTTGGCATGTGAATCCACAAATCGAATCCAGTGACGACAGATTAACATCTCATCAAGGTCATAATCTTATGGCTGTTGCCGCAACTAGGGTTTGGGAAGAACTTTACGTCTGTAAGAAACCTGCCATAGAGGAAGTTTTTAAAGTAACACTAACATCTCCAGTCGGAAATGAACGAGCACCTGATTTATCAATTGTTCGAGAACAAGTGCACGAACTTGCGCAAAAGTTGTGGATGAATTATGTAGGATCGGAAAGAAAAGCACCATATCGAGCTCCTTGGGAACTACATAATCAAATTCAATCAGCAATTAACAACGTAAGAAGCATTTTTATTTTTAAGTGTTGAATTTGGTTGATATAATATACATGCTAGCTGCTTAAATCACATATTATGTTTACTACGTGAGAGAATTTAGTTTCAATGTGTTCAATTAAGTAAAAACATAAAACTCAATTTTATATTTTCTCACGAAATTTGACTGAAAATGAAACAAAAGTTTATCGGTGTAAACGGTATCAGACGTAAGATCATTGACAATGTAATAGTAAAATATCATTTACTTCTGATTGTATATTTTATGAATCAATATTGAATATTTTCTCACTTGAAGCTGTTCTTTTAATGTGGCATACATAAACGCGCCTCCGGCATTTATGCCGCAGGTCGCTGTCGCTACCTTTGATGATACTAATACGAAAATCGAAGTGTTTGTACGATTAAAGAAATACACGATTTTAATTTACGGATCCAATTTTTTTCCTTGCGTAACGATACCTTTTTCAGGTATTAAAAAATAATATTCATTGGAAATTTTTAATTATATAATTTCTTCTTTTGCAGAAAATTCAAAAAGTGACCGGAGGTTTAACAAGATTAGCTAGCCGAACTAAAGTTAGAAAGGAAGAATCTGTTAAAATTAAATTAAAATTGCGTTACAAAACTGTCGTTCAATGGACTGAACAAAATGTAGCCTTAGTAAGGGAGTTAGCTGCCGCAAGAAAATTACAATATCAGCAAACTTATCAACATACTCAACGTTACGTTTATCAAGTAAATTTAAAAAAATTTCAAATCTATCTCATAATAAATTGTTAATAAATGTCGGGGTCGGTTTCTTCTACGTATTTTAGGAATGGCTTCAAACTGAAACAGAATTAACAAGAGAACGTGGCTTATGGGGACCACCAACACCTACAGTACTTGATAAATGGATGCTTGACATGACAGAAGGTCCTTGTAGAATGCGTAAAAAAATGATGAAGAATGAATTATTTTATATACATTATCCTTATAGACCTGAATTAGAGCACCCAGATAACGTAAGTTGTTGAACAAAACTTGTTATAGTATTCGTTAGGTTAAAATGATGAAAAGTCATTTTATGTTGTATTCTCTTAGAAACAATTGAAGTACAAAGTAGCTACTAGTCTGGATAGTAAAGAGTATTACTTGAAGCAACTAGGTAATTCTTCGGGAATGTTTGAACGTGAAAAAGATCCAGTAATTGACGACGTACCACTAAATATGAATGAAACTTCTACTGAAAATGAGCCTCCAATAGTGACATGTCCATTAGCAAGACATGCCAGTGAGCCTGATGAATCAACAGAAGATGTTGAGCCAGAAGAAGAAAATAATCAAGGCATTCCTGACAACCAAACTCTTTTAAGATTATTAGAAGAGCATGAAAAAGTAAATTTTTCCAAATCTGTTATCCCTAGTACAAATACAAATAGTAACAATCAAATTAATTTGAATAATTATTTTATTTCAGATAAGTCATATGTTTAGATGTGCTAGAATACAGGGATTAGATACTACAGAAGGCCTTTTATTATTTGGAAAGGAACATTTTTATGTTATCGACGGATTTACTTTACTGAAGTCTAGAGAAATTCGTGACATAGAGAGTTTACCAGAAGCTTACGAACCTATATTACCTTCACCTGGATCACCTAGGCGTTCTCGCGCAATGAGACAATGCTCAAAGTTCAATTATGAAGATATAAGGTTGAAATTGAATTTTTTTTCAACGTTGTTGTTGTTGATAGTCTAAAATGTTACGCTGACAAACAATATTAACGGTTTTGCTTTCATTTTATACCATTAAATAACGTAATTGATACTTTCTTGCTCAATTTTAGATTTAAAGCTAATTTTCGTGAAAAAGTCTATTATTCTTTATTCAATCTATAGCAAGCAACATTTTTAACCTGATTTGAATTACGCAATGTTATTAATAAATTTATTATATTTATACCATAGAGAGGTACATAAAAGACGATACTTGTTACAACCAATGGCGCTTGAAGTGTTTAGCGGAGATGGACGAAACTATTTACTGGCTTTTCCTAGAAAAGTACGTAATAAAGTTTATCAAAGATTTATGACTTTTGCTACTGCTATCGCTGATAGTGCCCAACAATCGGTTGCTGGACAAAAAAGAACCGCAAATGTGGAGCAAGCAACTGGGCTACTTTCAAGTCTTATTGGTGAGACTTCAGTTACACAGCGATGGGTTGTGAGTATACAGTAATTTGAATTTTGATTTTTAATAGTAATTTAAATCCTACGAAATGTTAAATTCGTGGTTCTGCTAACAGAGAGGAGAGATATCGAATTTCCAATATCTAATGCATTTGAATACTTTGGCGGGTCGAAGTTACAACGATTTGATGCAATATCCAATTTTCCCATGGATTCTTGCAGATTATGATAGTGAAGAACTTGACCTTGCCGATTCCGTCACTTTTCGAGATTTTAGCAAGCCCATGGGGGCCCAAAGTCCTGAAAGGCTTTTGCAGTTCAAAAAAAGGTTTATTTACAGGAACCAAACTATTTCATATTCTCATTTTAATATTCCTCCATCTAATATCTTTCATTTATAGGTATAAAGAGTGGGATGATCCTCACGGAGAAACTCCACCATATCATTATGGAACACATTATTCTTCGGCTATGATAGTGTGTTCTTACTTAGTTAGAATGGAGCCATTCACTCAACATTTTCTTAGACTACAGGTTGACAAAATACACGTATTACGATAGATTGCAATTCAAAAAAGAAACAAAGTAAACAATTTATTTTACTTTTCATTTTAGGGAGGTCATTTTGATTTAGCAGATCGAATGTTCAACAGCATCAAAGAAGCGTGGCTTTCAGCTTCTAAACATAATATGGCTGACGTTAAAGAACTTATTCCAGAATTCTTTTATCTCCCAGAGTTTCTTGTGAACTCGAACAATTTTGATCTAGGTAAAATATTTAATTTCACACTATTTACTTGTTAACATGCTATTAATTGATTTAAAAAAAGAGAACGTATCTTAGAATTTGATTTTATGTTGAAACAAACTCTTTAATCTTTCATGAATAATTAATTCCAAGCTACTTTGCAAGTTGACGATTTTTATCAAACCGTATTTTTTTACATTTAACATGCTATTCCTTATGAAAAGATACTTATGAAAAGAATACTTATGACAAGTTTTAGAAAAAAATATCGATTAGGTTAAAAGATATTAACCACCGAAGAAAAACTGAGAATATTTATTTTTAAATCAATAACTTCATTACCATTACTAATATAAAAAAACTTTCTAAAACACACGTAAAATCTTGAACTTTGGCATGATTATGAATAAAGAAACAAAACATTGTTTTTACTAAAATTATTATTCTTTGTAAAAAACTGCATTTTTCCCAAATGTTCGTAGTTGGGATTTTTTAATTTTCGTTGTACTCTTTGGATTTTTTATATATAAATCTTCAATAAAAATCACTGGCCAACTATACAATATTCCACAGTGAACATCAAAACGAAACGACGCGCAGTCCAGACGTACGCGTCTCCTTTCTCGCCACTTGGCTAGCACACGCACTGCTGTAATACATCGACATCAGCTATAGTTTCGATTTCAAAAATTGTTGCTCGGAAATTGTACTTTTCGATACCCCGTGCACAAAGTGCGCCTTCCCCGCATGCTCGATAGAAAACATGCGTTGAAAATCGCACTTTCCACACGTCGTATCAAAAAATACGGTACGGCACATGTTCGGGAAAGAGGTTCTCGACTCATGTACCTTTCCACCCTCGCTTCGCTCGGGCGTAAACGCCTGACGAGACAAGAATCTACTTTCCCGCACTTGTATCATAATGTACTAATTCCACACGTCGTATAAAAAAATATGGTACGACATATTTCGAACAAGTTCGAAAATATTACATTACGATATAAGTGCGGGAAAGTAGATTCTCTTCTCGTGTAGCATTTATGCCCGAGCGAAGCGAGAATGAAAAGGTACACGAGACGAGAATTTCTTTTCCGAACATGCTTCGTAAGGTACTTTTGATACGACAGATGGAAAACTCGTTTTTGAACGCACGTTTCTGGTCGAGCGTACAGAAAGTATGTGCTTTCCGAGCGGAGTGCCAAAAAGAGTTGCTCGTCTCGTGTGCCTTTCCAGTCTCGCTTCGCTCGGGCGTAAACGCCACACGAGACAAGAATCTACCTCCCCGCACTTGTATCGTAATGTACTATTTTGTTATTGATTTTATTTTATTCCTAATTTTTTTCTACTGCTAATATCTATTAACCTAATCAATATTTTTTTTCAAACTTGCCACAATCATTCATCTTTTCATAGCTAATAAGTATGCCAAATTGGAAAAAAATCGGTTCTCTGAAAATTCCCAACATATGAACCAGCTTGGAGTGAATCGAATATTTAACAATTCATCAATTCATTGTTGTACTTAGGTTCAAAACAAAGTGGTGTTCAACTTGGTGACATTGTTCTTCCACCTTGGGCAAGGCAAGATCCTCGTGAATTTATCAGAGTACATAGACTCGCACTGGAATGCGACTATGTGTCTCAACATCTTCATCAATGGATTGACTTGATATTTGGATACAAACAAAATGGGCCGGCAGCAGTAGATGCAGTGAATGTCTTCCATCACCTTTTTTATGAAGGAAATGTGGACATCTACAAGTCAGTATACATAGTATTCTCGTTTATTCATATAAGTTTCGAAATAAATAACTAAACTATTTGATTAAAATAGTGCACAACTATGTATATTTCTAATAAATTATGTAATTAATATTTGCAAAAAGAATGTTGAATTTATCATATATTGTTTATTAAAATTCACAAACAATCAAAAACCATGAGCACCACTAAAAACATTGAGTTCTTCTGATGATAATAGAAATATGCGTAAGCCAAGTTTAGTATAACTTTATGTTTAGTTTACAAATTAAGTACATACATTTGCAATTTATTAGAAAATAATACAATGACTCACTTTAAAAAAATATTATGTCTATCTTACTTATATCTCTAAATTTATTTTTAACTTTTTAGTTAATCATGATATTCATTGCGGATAATTTAAATGGACTTAATTTTTAGGATTGATGACCCTTTGAAAAAAAATGCGACAATCGGATTCATCAATAATTTTGGACAGATTCCAAAACAATTATTTAAGAAACCTCACCCAGCCAAAAAAATGACGCAAAGAACGAGTGTTATCGATCCTGGCCCAATAACTCCCGGCTTAAGTATAACAACATCAGACCGTTTGTTTTTCCATAATTTAGATAATTTGAAACCTTCTTTGCAATCCATTAAAGGTAATATTTTTGAAATAAGAATACTCGATATGTAAGTGCTATTCATATTTCATTAATATACTGCGCACTATTAGAACTAAAATGGCCAGTGGGACAAATTTTACATATTGAAAAAGCTGTACTTGCTGTTGAACAAAATAAAACGTTGATTCCTCCATCGTATAATAAATATGTAGCATGGGGATTTGCTGATCATTCACTCAGAGTTGGAAATTATGATAGTGACAAAGCTGTATTTGTTTGTGAAACAATGATGCAAAGCAGTGGAGAAATCGTCGCCTGTGTATGCCCATCTTCAAAATTGATAGTTACAGCTGGAACAAGCTCCGTATGTTTATTTTATAAGCTATTTATATCAAAATCTTGAATGAACGGCCTCAATTGGCATCTGACTTATAGGTTGTAACTGTGTTGGAGTATTCAAAGAGGCAACTTTCAATTAAACAGTGCCTATATGGCCATACAGATGCTGTTACTTGTTTAGCTTCAAGCCCGGCCTATAATGTAATTGTTTCTGGGTCTAGAGATGGCACAGCAATTATTTGGGATCTTTCAAGGTGTTTATTTGTTCGTCAACTAAGAGGACACGCGGGACCTGTTGCTGCTGTTGCAATCAATGATCTAACAGTAAGAATCCTTTCAGAATCAATAATTATCTCAATAATAGCGTGATGCTAATGCCATTACTTTACAGGGCGATATTGCAACTTGTGCAGCAACGTGGCTACACGTATGGAGTATCAATGGAGATGAATTGGCAAAAGTCAATACTTGCGTAGGGAGGGCTGATAGAATGCAACAAATATTATGCGTAGCATTTAGTCAAACACATGAATGGGATTCACAAAATGTTATTATGACAGGTTCGACTGATGGAGTGGCAAGAGTGAGTTGAAACATTCTCTGTCCAATCTGTCACTTACTACTTCATTTCAACATTATTAATGAGATTAATTATCTCTAACTGCCTACTTTTAATCTGACATCATTTTTTATTCTGTGTGGATAATTATTTTCTACGTTTCCAAATGGACGTGATAATTATTATCATTGTTATTGTTATTGTTACTTCAAAAAACAAAATTCGTTTTCAACTCTGCAAGAGTAGACTAGAAATCTATACGCATTAATCTTTTATAGTTATGAAAAGCGTGCAACCAACCTCCTCCTATATCTGGAAAGGTGTGGGAGGAAAACTTTTACGTCTAACATGACTAGACCAATAAACCTACAGTTTAAAGTAAAATTCGATCTATCAAGAGTCACGGTAATAAGCACATGAAAATTTCATTTCTCAAAATTTTCTTATTTCTGGGACTCGAACTCGCGACCTCTTGCACAGAGGTCTTAGCTCTTACTGACGCTCCGTTACTCTCATTTTAACATTTTTTTTTTCATTACCATAAATATTGATTAATATTTATTTTGCCAAACACAGACTAACAAATGCTTAATAATTTATTGTTACTCATTACAAATAACGTTAATTGTTGATTCATCAATATTGAAATCGTACATATATAAATTACCTATATTCTAGATGTGGTCTATGGACTATGTGCAAGTCCCTGCCGAAGAAGATAAAGTTGAAGAAGTCGAGATGAACAAGAACCAAAATAAAGAAAAATGCAAAGAAGAAAATAAAAAAGAATCAACGAAGAAACGAGTTCATGAATTAGTAAAACAAATGAGTATATCGAATGAAAGCTCAGGTACATTTTTTCTTTTCTTTTAAAAAGCAAATAAACAAAAAGAGAAAAGAAAACAAAATGCACCAATTTGAATTATTTAATTTTTAGGCACCATGGCAAAAAGTGGTTCCGAGAGCAGTTTGTCAGAAGCGGAAAATTCAAAAGAGGCATCTAGATCACACGAAGAAAAAGAAGAATGTTCTGATAATGAATCGAGTAATGGATCCGTAAATAAACTTTCCCCTCAAAGTAATGCGTCTACCGTGGTTCTGAGAAGGAAAAGTCGAGGTAATCCATTATTTAGAAAAAGCGAAGGAGGCGGACGTGCTGACAGTGAAGGAACTCAAATGATGTAATGCATTTTATAAAATATACAATTTTGTATAATCAATTAATTGTACATAATTACATTTTTATTTTAGTGAATCAGCTAACAGTATTGTGGAATCTGACACGGCTATGAGAACTAGTAAAAGTGATACTAGTCTTACGGATAGCTTTGTTGTGATAACGGAGGCTGATATAAAATCTAAACGAATTAATCCTCAAAATGTTTTACGAGAGGGTTTCAAGTGGCAAAGACAGCTTGTCTTTAGAAGTAAATTAACAATGCACACTGCCTATGACCGAAAAGATAATGCTGAACCCGCGTCTATAACAGCACTAGCTGTATCAAGGTAGTTTCAACTATGAATTTTTCGTATATGTATACGGTCTATAATATAGTACATTACGATACAAGTGTACGATACAAGGTACGAGCGAAGCAAGCTAATTAACTAATTACTCTGTTAAGATCTGTTCACCCTCAAATTACTTTCTTGCACTAGTATCGAAATGCATTATTATTGTCAAAAAAGCTGCTTTAATTAATAACTAATCATTTTTCTCAAATTATATTCAAAAAATAAATTAAACTTTTTAAATGTCTTCAATATACACTACTCACAAAAATTCTAGATTTTTGGGATCACTTTCAACAAGGAATAACGCGAAGGAAAATGGTCGTACAGAAAAAAGGGAAATTGTAGCTTCAAGTTTTTTGTTTTTAGATCTGAGCTGTAAAATTTATTAGCTTAGGCGGTTTTCAAGTAGTCACCGAAAAACCAACGAAAAAATTTCTTTTAAATTTTTCTTCGTCTTGAAACTTTAAAAAAGTTTGAAATATCAAGTTTAAGGTCTGTGAAATAAAAAAATTTTTTCTATCGTGTGACTTTTAAACTCTTTTAGGCAATCGAATCAGCTTTTATAAAGTGTCCCGTATAATGACTTGGCTCAAAATGATTGCCGATCAAAGCAAAACAGTCCATTTTGACTTTAATAATCAATTGTTCGGAATCCAATGATTGTACAGAAAACGAAAGTTGGGTATTAAAATCTGCAAAACATTTTCTATGACATGTAATTAGTGGCTTTTGATAAAAAAAATTTTTTCGAAGTGATAATGTTGATTGAAAAAAGTTGAAAATTTACGATTTTGAAGATATTTAGAAAATTTGGTATAACTTTAGATACAACGAATGAATGAAGGATATCAACTGTCTTTTTTCATTCTCAAAGTGTTTTTAAAAACTCTCAAAATTGCGAAGCGTACAGAATTTTTTTCTTTTGACCTGAAGGTTCAAAATTAAGGTTTCTGTCAAAAATCACCGTACAAGCAATTTTATAAGATTTTTATTCATTTTTTTAACTTTAAAATTTGTGTCATAGCTGTAATAAGTAAATGCTCTATTCAAAGACAAAAATTACCAAGAAAAATATGTATAAAAAATGTTTTTAAAAAAAATTTTTTTTAATTTTTTTTCTCAGCACAGTCAGATTTACGCGCTTTGTACACCCGCACGCATGTATTTATCTATATGCGTGGTTCTTTGGAAGGTATGAGACCCGGTGTTTCATTAATTCCGTCGTATTTCACGACACCAAACTCATCTTCGAAAGATTGTATGTATGGTTCTTTGGAAAGTACGAAATCCGGTGGTTCGTCAATACCACCGTATTTAATAACTTCAATCAATATCTAGTATTGCCGCCCCTGCTTTGGATTATCGCTTGTAAACTTTCTCGCATATTGATGCACTTCTAAATGCCTGACTGACATTATTTCCCGCCAACATTGGATCAGAGCTTGAAACAGCTGACATAAATTATACAATTGCGGGTAGTCCTTCCGCAATCGGCGCTTAAGCATGTACCATACATGCTCGATAAGATTCAAATCGGGACTTACTGGCGGGTGATTCGTCTTTACCATTTTGTTATTAGCAAGAAAATTTCTGATACATACGGCAGTGTGAGAGCGAGCATCATCCTGCATAAGAATGAAATTCATCCATCTGCGTACAGGGAGAACGTGTGGTTCGAGAATTCCATTAATATATCCTTTGACAATTTAACGATCACTAATGGATTTTTTGTATTGTAAAAAATGCCTGTTTACATCATTACTGAACCACTATCAAACGCCACGATTTTGCCGACGAGCATGGAGACCTTGCTCATGTAACTGATTTCGGATCGTTGGGGCAGAGATGCGTCGTTGGAGAGGAAGTTTTCGACAGTTAAAATTTGACCAGTTGCATGCGCCATAGGTTTTCGACAAGATTGACGAACGATAGCTCTATTGTCGCGCATGATAGTGATTTGTCGCCCATCTTGACTTAGTCGTCGATCATAGGTTTGGCTTTCATTGAATGGAGCATAAGCCCGACTAATAACCGACTGGCTTACCCTCATTCGCGCAGAAACTTCGACTCGATTATGACCCTCTTGGAGTAGGGTAATAATGTTAGCTACATCCGTGGCAGAGAATCCCTTGAGACACCTTGGCATCAAATATCAAAAAATAATCAAATATTTGAGATGGTTTTGCAAAAAAATTTATCGAGGTAATTTTGTAAAAAAAAACCTTTGTGGTTGTTAAGAAACTGTATTGTAACAATAGAAGCTGTAAAAAACATAAAATTTCCGAGTTTTGTATGAAGAGAATTAGTCGACCATTAGGGGGTATATCAACTTTAATTAATTTTTTAAATTGACATTTAAAACAAAGGTGGTTATTATTTAAATAAGTACAAAAATTTTTTGGGAAGAGAAGAACATCATTAAGACAGTAAAATTTTTTTTTTATTTTTTAGACATTCTTTTTCAAATAAATTTTTTTTTGGTAAAAAATGTTTTGCATTTTTTTACTGTAGGTGAAAGCAGTAAAAATTATAGTAATAAAGCATTGCGTACATGTGGAGAAACGAAATTTTTGAAAAAATATTTTTTATGCATATTTTTCTTGGTACTTTTTGTCTTTCAATATAAAATTTACTCATTACAGCTATGACACAAATTTTAAAGTTGAAAAAATGAATAAAAATCTTATGAAATTGCTTGTACGGTGATTTTTGACAGAAACCTTAATTTTGAACCTTCAGGTCAAAAGAAAAAAATTCTGTACGCTTCGCAATTTTGAGAGTTTTTAAAAACACTTTGAGAATGAAAAAAGACAGTTGATATCCTTCATTCATTCGTTGTATCTAAAGTTATACCAAATTTTCTAAATATCTTCAAAATCGTAAATTTTCAACTTTTTTCAATCAACATTATCACTTCGAAAAAATTTTTTTTATCAAAAGCCACTAATTACATGTCATAGAAAATGTTTTGCAGATTTTAATACCCAACTTTCGTTTTCTGTACAATCATTGGATTCCGAACAATTGATTATCAAAGTCAAAATGGACTGTTTTGCTTTGATCCGCAATCATTTTGAGCCAAATCATGGTAAAGGGTAGTTTAAAAAAGTAAATCAGAGCTGATTAAATTGCCTAAAAGTGTTTAAAAGTCACATAATAGAAAAAAATTTGTTAAAGTTCACAAGCCATTTTAACACATTATGAGCGGGGCAAGTTGCGAGGATCACTTATCAAATATAAAAATATAAATTAATGTATATAAAATATAGTTCAAAATAAGACCCATTACCAAATTTAGCAAAAATCTAACCATTACTTTTACGCCTATCAAGTTTATTTTCACACGCATATATTTTGCTTAGCTGGCAAATTGGCCCGCTACGTAGCACTGTCCGATATCCTGAGCTATCTGCTCATAATGTGCTTAAAATGAAGAAAAATTTAGAAACTTTTTTTTCATTGGTTTTTCGATGACTACTTGAAAAAACCGCCTACGTTAAAAAATTTTACAGCTCAGATCCAAAAGCTAGAATCTTGAAGCTGCAATTTTCTTTTTTTCTATACAACCATTTCTTTTCGAGTTATCCCTTGTTGAAAATGAGCTCAAAAATCTGAAACTTTTTTTACATCTCTCAATTTTGTGAATAATGTAGTTGAGCAAAGTTCATGATAACTTTCTTAAAATTCAAATCTATTCATATTGAAATTTGAGTATAAACTTAATTAATCAATCAAGATGCTTAATTTTAATTTCGTTTCGAAATGACTAGGCATAAAAGATGTTTCTACCTAAATAAAATTAGGATTTTTATAAGTTGATTAAAATCAAATTTGACTATATGTCTTAAAAGCGTTTCTCTATGAAGAATATACTTGAGGGAAAATGCGAAATAACTTGAAACTAATCCTTATTTACGGAAAATTAACATAATGAAATAATTAATACTGTATTACAGAGACCATCGAACGGTTTATGTTGGGGATACACGTGGACGTGTTTTTTCATGGAGCGTATGTGAACAACCAGGTCGAAATATTGCTGATCATTGGTTGAAAGATGAGGGTGTTGACTCTTGCGTAGGTTGTGGAGTTAAATTCACTCTTTATGAAAGAAGACACCATTGTCGGAATTGTGGTCAAGTATTCTGTGCTAAGTAAGTTTTTTGTAATATCTTTGGGCTACTATCGTTATGGATTTACAGAATTCTCAATAGCGTAAGGCATATTAATTAAAAGATCCAACACTTCAGTTCTTAATATATCTATATGAATTCTATGATAAATTTTGAAAGTTTTTGTACGAACTATCCGAAAACTAATATGTTTCGGAATTAATCACATTATCGCTCTTAAAGCTATGATTTTGAAGAAGCGCAGCTATCTGGAACAAAAATTTTGTTTACTAGTAAATACGATGGCGAAAAGGTGAAATTATATATTTAATTTGACATTGCACATTTTTTCATAGGTGTAGTCGATTTGTATCGAAAATTGCAAGGTTGGGCATTGTGAAGCCTGTACGGGTGTGTCAAGGATGCCATTCTATGCTACATTCTCAAAACTCTACTGAAAGCAACTCTTAATGATATATAATTCTTACAAGTTATAGTATATCTACGAGTTATGAAAAATTAGATTTGTTTGTATATAGGTGTGTGATGAAAAAATCAGTTTGTCATATTGTTTGTTCAGTTATAACAAACAATTAATCAATGCAACAAACTAATTATTGAATTCTCGTGTAAATATACGTTACAAATATTGAAAGCTATTGAAATATAAAAAAGAAAATACTGATCATTTGATCAACATATTTAGTTCTTTATGAAAGAAAAAACAATTAAATGAATATAAATATTAGAAAAACCGGGACTGACATAAAATTTGACTAACTTATTATCTTTTTTAATACAATTTTATACTAGTCTGCTTTATGGTGAACTTTTTTTTATACGGAAAATTGTATTTGTAACAACTGAATGAGACATTAATTATTTTTTATCTGTGATTTTTATGTACCGAACACAGATTTACGTGTGTTGGGAATTGATAAACGTGATTATTATTATTTACAAATTGTATTTACAATTATACATAAGATTTATTAAATGTAGCTATTACAATGTATAAACCACGTTAGCTTACGTTTTTAAAGTTTTTACTTTTGTTTGCAACAATGCATTAAAAACTTAATTTAAAAATAAATATGTAATGAATATCCAAATTATCATTAGTATTATATTTTTGCCACAAGAAAGATGCAATCTGTATTAATATAGGTTATTTATTATATTATATTATAAAAAACTAATTATTGAGACATTCATAATTTCATATAATAAAATACGGACATCAAATAAACTAACATTATTGAAAATTAAGTTTTATTTTAACTGGACATATACAATTATAAACCAGCCTTGACAATCGAATTCCATAATAGAATCAATTTTATTTAAGTATGTGCTAACGTTCACATTCTGCACTAAAAGTTACGCTGTTCTTTGAATGTTTATAGATTTTTGAAACAGATATTGGTATTGTACTATACTGATTCAATTTTGAAGAATTCGAAATTCCCTATGTTGTCATTGATACATTAGAAATTTGCGAATATAGAGAAATTTAATAATTATGGTTCAAAACGCAAGTAGCTTTATTTTTAATAATGATAGTTCTGAATATTGGTTTCCAAACTGGAGCTTAATTTGAACAAATAAAAAGTATAAATAATTTCAAAGCTTATAAATATATGTACATTGAGACATTTTCATTTATAGCATTACAAAACATTTAATCACCCATCTTAAGTTAGAGATAAACATTTTTATTTTTGGTAATTATTAATTCTGATCAAATACTTCTTTTGATTTAAATTAATATATAAAACTAAATGTGCGATTTTAGAACGTTTTATGTAAACCATGAGACTCAGCTAATAGATTACACTGTTTAATGCTATCACTAGACAATATTATATTTCAATAGGAAAAGAAACAATTCATAGGCAATAATAAGGGTAAATAACGTTCAAAATCTATAAAGTGGGCCTTTACCCTTATTCTATTGCAAATATGATCGAAATATACGAAACAATGTCAGTTGTAAACGCAAAATATTTTGTGTTAGAATATAGAAAATAAATGATTGGTTCAAAGATAGTAATCAATTACTGCAACAGATTTTTTTTAATATTAAAAAATGGTAAGTGTGTGTGTGTGTTATATATATATATATATATATATGTATATATAACAATACTAAATCTCTGCACAAATATCTGTCTTCGATTTTTTTACAAAAAAAAATTGAACTATAACAAATTTGAGTTTTATTTAATTGCAAAATTTGTATGCATGAGAAACTTATACTGAAAAGAACAGATCGAGGCTTCATATTTGAATACTTCATAAAAAGATATGTAGATATGTGAAAATGTCAAAAACTTGTAATCATTGTCTATAAAATGTGAAAATTGTAAAAGTATATTTAAAATATGTAATTTCTACATATTTGCCTTCAAAGATTCCAATTAAATTGAAACTATGATAAAGTAACTAGGACTGCTAATTATTCCACATCCTCTTTTTCCCGTTATTTCAATATTCATTTAATGTACAATAAATTTATTAGACAATTTTTTATATAAATTATTATATATTAGAAATTTTTTATATAAATACAAAACTTTTGCAAGAACAGTAGAAGGACACCTAGAGCATAACGGGATAGATAAGAAAAATCTATAAAGATGTTGTTGCACGCAAACACAATTAAAACCAATTTTTATTTTTCTAGGAAACTTCTATGAACTAATTTATGTTATTAATCTAAATTTATAAATATTAAGAAACATAATTAAAGCACGTTTTTATAAAACTTCCGTTTCTTTGTTTTAATTATTCAATTTCATGTTGCCTTCAGCTGAGTAATATATTAAAAAGACACAGCCAATACATGTAAAAATCTTTTTATTTTGAGTAATAAAATGAACAATTTGTGCTGTTTTCGATTTCATATGTAGAAGAAAGTTTTGAATATGTTATACACATTACAAATATCAACAATTTTTATATGTATATATATATATATCAATTTTAAACTAGTATACAACTTTATGTAAATCTGACAATTCTAAAACTTTTAAGTGTCGCAAATAAAATAAAATAACGACAATTGACGTTTAAAAATTCTAATTGATATTAAATAATAATTAGAAATCAATTTACAACTATGAACAGTAAAAGATAGTAAAAATCACACTTCTATTACGGCTCAGCCTGTTTCTTTCGTATAGATACCGATTCTACACAAATTTTTAAATATTCATTTAATATAATGTTTTTTTAATTAAATAGAAGATATCTATCTATAGTGTTTATTAAACAAGAAAACATTATTGAACATATAAACTTTTAAGTGTATAATTCGATTAGAACATAATTAGCTTAAAGTATATTTTTACATAAAATATTTCTGCAAGAATAAATAAATATTTGAAATAATTCTATGTTTAAAAAGCCGTCAGTTAATTATTAAAAAATGACCAAATTAATATGTTATGTCATGTAGACTATTTTTTTTTAATTAATTGTTTATTAATTTTTTTGTAAAAAGATATAATATTCTATAATATTTTAATTTATAAGAAAATATTATTTTTCGTGTTCAATAGAAAAATATTATATTAAATAAATAAGATTTAGAAATTCGCGTAGAATTTAAACTATGTAGAATCAGTATCTGAACGCAACAAAGTCGGCCTACCACTATTTAACACACTTCATGAAATGAATAATAATTAATATATAATCTAGGATAAATATTAGCATAATTATATTAATTGAAAGCTGTCAAAATAAAGTAAAAAGATTAAATAAATGAATATTATCTACTCAAAAATTAACAAATACTTCAGTTTCGAAGAAAACATTTCATTGAAACCAAGTTGTTTTTGTTGAATACTATTAAATGCCCTTACAAGAAGCAACATGTTTATCGATTCTGTGAGGAAAGAATTTCCGTTTACATATTCTACACATTATTAATTCTGACTTATGTTGTTCCCAATTAACTTCTGGAACAGCTAATTCTGAAAAAATACAAAATAACTGTTAGAATTCCAGATTTCTATTAAAATTTCTGAATAAATATTCAATTCTGTAAACATTTTTATCACAATGCATACATTTATATAACATCAATTGAAAATGAGTTAGCTATTTTCATTATTTCGCACCAAAAATAATTTTGGTTTGAAAATCAAAAAGTGTATACTAGCTTAAACAATAGATCCATTAAACATCTCGAAGTAAATTTGAAAAAAATAAATGACTATATAGAGTAACAGTAAGTTATAAAATTCTCATTATTTTCCTAAGAAATGCAACTTTCACTATTGTACAACTTTTTAACATTTATATGGATTTGGTTACCTTTTTTTGGTGGAGAAAATCGTTTACTTTCATTTGGCATAATATTTCCTGTTGCACTAATAGGGCTTCTAGCTAATTGTCGTTTAGGTACCATTGGATTTAAACTCACATCCTACAATCAAAGTTAATTAATATGAGAAATACTATTGTTATTGATAAATCACCCCGATTAAAACAGTGCTTACCAAAATATTATTGCTGTTAGTAGTATCTGATACCTGCGAAAGAGAACTCTTAATCTCATTTTCCAAAACTTGATGTTTATCTGATGGTTTTGGTAAATGTTGCACTTTTCTTGAATTGACTATCTCTTCTATATTTTTCTTCTCGTCTATCTCTTCATTAGATGGAGAAACTTGATTTTTATATCTTCTTCGAACAATGTACTCATCTGATGAATGAGGTTTCAATTTATTTACATCTTTTGGAGAATGAAGGACTTTCGATATTTTAGGCAGAAAATTGTCACCTACATCTATTTTATCAGATAATAATTGTAATGGTATTTCATTTTGTATATCATCGGTAGTTACTATAATTTTAAATTGTCCATCTTTATTTTTAAGTTTTCTATCATGGTTTACTGCAGTTGTATGAGGAAATTGAATTTCTGGTTTGTTAGAGCATTCTTTATTATTCAAGAGTGAGTTTGATTCAGATACTGAAACATCCACTGTGTCATCTGAGTCTTGTGTGAATAATCGCCTTCTGGTACCAAATGGACTTGCAGAGTATTTCTCAACATTCATCATATTTTCATGATCTGTAAGTAAAATTTTTTTTTTTTTCTCTGATGCATGAAGGATTTCTTGATTCAAAGTTAAGCGTCCTAATTTTTCTAGAGCTTTTTGACTTTCCTGTGATAGTTCATTTTGATTAGCAGTATTTTCCTTGTCGAAATCCTGCAACATTTTTCAATTTATTAAAAATATTAACATGAAAATCAAAGGTTTTAAATTCTTTTACCTGGTTCCTGCACTGGACATTGTTACACTTACACAACTTTTTATTACAAGAAACACCTTTCTTCACACAGCCACATATCTTATTAGCACAACTACCTTTACAACCACAGCCTTTCGTAGACATGCTGTCAATGTCTGTACTGATAGATTTTTTTTTTATGGTTGCATTATCAATCAAATCATTTTTTACTAATACACTGGTACTTGTACTTTTCAGAAGTTTCAAATTTTGATGTTTTAAAATTGTATTTTCATCTTGTAGTTTAAAACATTTTACTTCATAGTCAGCAATTTTTTTAGTAAGATCATTTATTTGCTTTTTATAATCACAAATCATTGTTTCATAATTGCAATCAATCTCAGTTTGAATAGAAACTGAATTATATGTAAAATGCCTAAAATATAAATATTGGTTGACATTAGTAATGAAAATTTATGGTAATGTCTTATGGAAAAAATAGTAATATCTTAATAATACATTATTACACTATTATAAGTCAGCATGATTAGATGTAAATAATTTGTTGGTAGTAATAATTGGCAATTAAGCAGAATGAAATGTGTATAAATATAAATAGCAGTATGCATACCTTGCATTAGAATTTGTTTTTGTTTTTTTTGGAGGCATTTTTCATATAATTATAACTATTTATATTATATTTTATGGAAGTAACTATTGATCGTAGTGATTCACAGTTTATAAATACCTATAGTAAATAATAACTATTAAATTTACTAAGTTTTTAACTGGGGACAAGAAATAATAAAGATATTTGTTATTTTGAAAGAAAATTTTTTCAATACATGAACAAACTATTGCGTATAAATCATATATGCGTAACTGTCACACTTTTAGCTTTTTTAAGTTCTGTATATATATATGTATGTCTGCATCATGGAGGATGCATGGATTTGTAGTACATACATACTACTAGCGCTACATAATATATAATGTATGTAGAATATGTAGATAGAATACATACCAATGAACCAATGCTAACAAAGTATTACTCAGTGCCCTCTGTTGGGTATTATTATAAGTTTGCATTCAGCTGTTCCATTCTGTAACTCGTGTTTATTTTTTGTTGTGAATTCTGTAATAGTAATCAATATTTTTTTCTTTTATGCAAGAAACATTTTTTTGCATTAATTAATAATTAGAATATTAATTACAGAAGAAAATGTATCGTGTGATCAACTTTTTAAAAGTTATAAAAAATAATTGGAAAAAATCAATTGTAGGGACAGCAGCATTATCTTATGGCGTTTCCTATAGCAAAGATTACTACAAGTAAATATTTAATATGTGGCTCGTTTTCATATTCTTTTTGATAATGATTTTTTTTTGAAAATGATGTAAACATTCCCTATTTGATGAAAAATATTTCGTATTAAATAAGTTACAAACAATAATTATTATTTAAATATTAATTATCATTATTTAAACTAATTTTAAAGCATCCAACAAATTATGAGAGAATATTGTCTAGAAGCAGTTACATATGGAGATCAGTCTCTACTGGCAAATCACAAACCTCAACATGTAACAGTAATTCTTAATCCAGTGGCCAAAAAAAGGTTACAATGATTGATTTTTGTTTCATAATATAAACTTTTTAAAATAAATAAATATAATGGAATATTTCAGAAAGGCTAAGAAGTTATTTGAAAAGTATTGTGAGCCAATTTTACATCTTGCTGGTTATGCCGTAACGATTATACAAACTCAATCAGAAAATCAAGCAAGAAATCTAATAGGAAATTTGAATAATCAAACTGATATTATAATCGTAGCTGGAGGAGATGGTACATTATCAGATGTTGTTACTGGAATGATGCGCAAATACAAACACAATAGTTCAGCTATTAAAGAATTGCCTATTGGAATATTACCTTTGGGTAAGACCAATAAAGTTGCAGATTCATTATTTCATGGATATCCAAATTTGGTTGAAGTACGAAAGCTTACTGATGCTACAATTGCTATTCTTAGAGGAAAAACAAAGTTTGTTGATGTCCTTGAAGTTGAATTGTTGGAGGTAATTTATGGAATTATTACAGAATTATTTTTATATCAAATAAACATTGCTGTGTAGTATTTTATGTAAAAGAATAACTAATTCCTTAAAATTAATTATGTTGATTTGGAATTTAATGATTATTTTATGATAATGATTACTAATATTTTTATTTAATTAGTAACTTGATAAAAAAAAAGAGTCAATATTCATTAATTATATTTTTAGAAAGATGCAGAGCATCTAGCTGAACCAATTTATGCTGTTGGCTCAGTTGAATGGGGTGCATGGAATGATGCTCATTGCAGATCAGACAAATATTGGTATTTGGGTATATTGAGAACGTTAGTCTCTTGTTTAATATGAATTTTAAATTATAATCAAATAAATATTAAAAACTCATATAAAATATATAAAGATTACATTTTTTATTTGCAAAATTATTTAGAAAAATTTTTATCCTTTTAGATATGTTACATACATATTCAGTGGTTTCAAAAGTGATATTAATTGGGATTGCAATGGTGTACTGCGTTACTTTGATCCATGTAGTGGATGCTCTAATTGCCACCATAAACAAGACCCTACATTAAATAAACGGTGGTGGCATTCATTTGTGCCAAAAATTAAACAGTCTCCTAATGGTAATAAATTATAGTTATTTTCATCATTAATTATTACTGAATGGAAATATTATCATAGGAGATAATAATGCAGATCATAGTAAAATAATTAATAAGAACTGTAGTATAGTTCATGAAATACCTATTTCTACTACTGAACTACATATAAAAACTGAGAATGTTAAAGTGGACAAAAAAAATATGATACCATCACTGAAAGTAGAATTGGGTATGTTTAATTAATCAGATATTTATATTTTATATCTACTTACTAGTTAACTGTTACATTAATCTATAATTAATACTCTTCATAGGACCTCCAAATATTAGCTACATGGAATTTGTTACTGAGGGTTGGCGAAGATTAAACGGCCAAAAAACATTAGTTAATAAAACATTAGAGGCCAGAGAAATAGAAATACATCCTTCACAATTGCATAATTTTGTAAGTATAAAAATTGGTCTTAGAAATTTTTATTATAAAAAAATGTCAGTTATAGAAGGTCCAATAGATCATTACCAGATTTTCACGGGTGGATTAAAATCCGTTGCAAATTCATATATATATATATTTTTAAATTTTTCATGAATCGGGATACCTTAATTTCCTATATTTATATAATTTAAAAATTTAGGAAATGATAAAGTAATTCTGACTTCAAGAGCAAAATTAGCACTACACAATTGATTATCGTTACGTGAATATCAGTTAATTAAAGTAAAATATGTTTATTGCAGAAGGATAAAGAACGCTCATTTTATATAGACAATGAAGAATTTGAATTGAAACCAGTTAAATTGAAACTAATACCGAAAACTTTAAAAATATTCTACCCTAAAGATGTGAATACAAGTTGATGAACGTATAAATATGTTCTTATGTATATAACAAAATTTATCCTAGTTATATTATTACCTCTTCAAAATATAGACACATCATTTTTAACAAAAATATAAAACTTTATTTTAAAAACTTATAGTATTTGATACAAAGTTATAATTCTGTAAATAACTCATAAGTTTATTCATTACTATCATATATACTAATGCATGATAACTGTAAATATTGTAATATATATACTTAAGGTCTATCATTTTTTTGAGTAAAAATGTTGTCATACCTTTTATAAATTTACAATAGCAAACAACTTCAACTTTTTAATTCAAATTCTAGTATAGAATACTTTCCAAATTTTTGTACAATAAGTAATTTTTATATAAAACTCGCCTTAATTACGACAATTAACTTAGGGTTTAACACATTATATTTCATAATTTTACTATTAATATTTAAAGGAGAAAATGTGGTTTGCATTAACATGTGTTTACAAAAATAAGATATTTTTCAGTATTAAATGCAAATCTATCTGTTATAAAATTTATAAAAGATGTGCTTATAAAATACAAATAGAAAGTGAGCTAAATTCTTCTGTTACCATTAAAATTGTCTGTTTAGTTAACATACAATTATTTTTGTATTTCTTTTCAATATATTTATTATGTCTTAACAATTATTTATGATGATTTTAGTAATAATGTTTGTTAATTAAACTATCATGACTTTTAAAATTGTTTCAAGTTCATAAAAAATATATAATTTACCATTGTTAAATTTTTATATTATCATTATTGAGTGATCAATTCTGTAGAGTAATCTTCTTACATACTGTTTATATAACATGCTATGGCACTTGTCAGTATAATACTAATATAAAATAAAAATAAAAACTAATCTCTAAGAATCATAAAAAATTATTATCTCTGTAATACTTCAAAATCTATAAATAGTAAATAGGAAAAATTTGGCACGCTTTACCCCTTGAAGGTTGTTTAAATTATAGATAATAGATGTTCCAAAAAATTACCGTCTGCAAATGCTCATGCCTCAATTATAATCGTTTTTTGTAATCACTTATGACGAAAATAAAATATTAGTTCGATTCATAATAAAATAATTATAGAACATTCATGAAAAGTGTTTACGTAACTATTACTAACAAGTAAAATTTATCAGTAAGGTAAAGGCTAACATGATTTGCTGGTATGACAAATGTAGAGATATCTAATTTGATATAAAAAATTGTATATATTTTAAAATAACGCCTAGATGATAAATAATGTGATTATTCAGTATCTCTATACCTATCTAAAAAAAATTTTGTTATAAACGAATAATAGTTTTTTTTTATTCACGACTGATTTTTACATAGAATGGTTGCAGTAAATATTTCAAATTTGATGAATTCGCAATATATGAATACGGATTTGTAGATGGTAATTTTTCCAAGCACTCGTTACAATTTGAGCAGGAACATCTCTAATTTAAGCGACACATGAGAGAGAACTAGCTATAAATTTTTTTTATCTACATGAATATATTTAAGGAGGCTTTAAACGGTTTTCGAAAAGGAATATAACGTATCTGTCATACGTAATATTTGTTCTATTTTTTAAATAAAATTCATGATTCTTTTAGATTCTTATAATAGTAATTTTTTATCACTGAATGAATCCGTCATTTAATGATATGTCATGTTAGCAAAATAATTTTCTAGAAATATCATAATTGTATTAATTCTGTAAATCACTACTAAAATTTTTGATTGTTGGCTTAAAAAATTGAAGTAGAGGACTTACTGGCATTTTTCGTGGTTCAGTAGACTTTGATCTCGTCGTACTACGATCAGGCGTCACATGACTTTTAGGACTAGATAATTTCTCAGCATTATTACAAATTTGTTTAGCGCATTTATTCTTCCTTATTTTAGTAAGCCAATCAATATTTTCTTTGGATTTTCGAGGTGACATTTCTAGTAAATGAGGCGCAGTTCCATCTAATACAAAATTAGGCAGGTTTGATGTGAGTGAAAAAGGTACTGACATGTTGAATTTCAAAGATGAACTTGGGCCTGGCTCGTCGGATTCGCAACTATTATTTAACGTTCTAATACTGTTTTGCACGTGAGTTTCCATTTTATTATTAGGGCTAAAAAGTCGTCGGGCTCCCTTAATTTCTAAATTAGGTCGTTTCAATGGAGCTTCAACGTTTTCTTGAATTGGTGACAAAATAGATTTATAACCGCCTTCTGACCAGTAACCACTGGACATTTGCGTATAATTTCTCTTTACAGATCTAATATTATAATCACCATCTGTGAAACGACAATTTAAAGAATTTATCGTTTAAAAAAAATTAAATCGTTAAATAATAATTATAAATATTTGGATCTACCTGGAGTAATATCAGACTCTGAAGAGCAATCTCTGTTTACTCTAAGTCTAGACAGAGTAGGGGTAGTTTCTAAGTTTCTTTTTGCTTCGTTCATTGGTGATTGGAGAATAGGTTCAGCATAACCATGTATATTTATTTTTTCATCTTCATTAATATGCTCTTTTCCTACTGTCCATATCCTGTGACAAGAGTCATCTGAACAAGTAACAATCTAAAAGCATGTTGAAATTATATATTGTTATTTCTATAAATCTATGTATACTCCAATTTTGATTGGAAATTACTTTTGACTCGCCTACACTGCACCAAGCGATACATGTTACTTCTTCTCTGTGACCAGAAAGTTTGAGTAAAGGTGTACCAGGTTTTTTAGTATGCCAGATGTATGCTAGTTCATCACTTGAGCCACTGGCAAGATATTTTCCATCTGGACTTAAGCAAGCTTTTACATAGAATGTTGAATTTTTATGCCCATAATATTCTGCAACTATATTAAAGAAATTTAACAATAAATATCTTAATCCTTAGAGTTACAACTTTATTTAAAAATTTGCAATTTTATCAAAATAATTAACTCGAATATAACTCAATCAAATTCGACATATGACTCTTGAAGTATTTAAATTTGCAGAATATAGATTGTTCAGTTTGTATAATGTAAAGATAAAATTTAGTATTTATTTAATTTTGTAATTTTGCTAATGTTTTCAAGTATTGTCCACTGTAGAACACTATGACTCTAAGGATTAATCTTAACTTTAATAAATAGTATGCTTTTGTGGCTTTACTTGGTTTAGGATTGTAGGATAAAACGTTATATGCATATATTGTATTATCCATACAACTTGCATATAAAGTAATTCCATATGGACAAACTACTAAAGAAGTAAATCCATTACTATTGCTTTTCCCACCATAATTCATTGTATATTTTGGAATAGGATCTTTTTTGTGAGTTGTATAATTTTTTCTGAGATCCCAAACTTTTATCAACCTGAGTTGGAAGATATCAAATTAGAAATATAAAATCTGATGTTAAGTAACAATACAAAAGAAAACAAACCCATCTCCTGAAGAACATGACAATAATGTATAATCATCTTGAAAAACTAAACCTGTAATACTTTGAACTCGATTGTGTTTGAATTTGTTTAAGGGTGTCCTACGCTGCTTTATTCTACTTAATAACTTTGTACAATGTGCATAGTAAATGGAGTTATCTGGACGATTACTGTTCGTTGCTCTGATATCCCAAATCATTATTGCACCATCTCTAGCTCCAGTGGCAAAAACAGCTAAAAAATGTACAATAATTCTATAAGTCAAATTGTTCAATTAAAATCTCTTTTGATTACCTTTATCTTGAGGTCGAAAAGCAACATTTTTAACACTACGAGTATGAGCATGAAATATTTGTAATTCTTTTATCTCTTCTTGTGAAACATCCCATAAACGAGCAGAATGATCTCCTGATGCAGTAATCAATTTCATTTCTTGTGGCATCCAAGCTATGTCAAATATAGCATCTGAATGTGCCTGAAAAATAAATTTGTTATTGAAAATCAAAAGATTTTTAGTCATATAAACAACAAATAAGTGATTTATTTGAAAACGATTGAAAAATTTATTCTGTTTTTCAACTTATTACTTGAGTTCCATCCAATGGTGCATCTAATTTTTTTCTTTGAGTAGTATCTTGCAATGCAAATTTACCATCTTCATTAGCTAAAGCTATAATTTCCTCATAACCAGAAGTTGAAGAAAAACGACACGTGAAAACTGGAGGCTCTGGATTAAAATCAGGGGCATCTGCATTTGGTGCAATTCCCCTGTATACATCTTCATTGTAACATTTTAAACGGAATAATGCAATATCATAGTCTTGAACGAATTCTAAAAAAGTTCTTTCATAAATCAAAATTCTTAAAACAGTCATTACTTTTAAACTGTATTCTATGAAATAATATTCGTAACAAATTAATGTTCAGTAACACTTACTTAATCCTTTCTCTCTAAGACTTATTGATTGAGCAATATTCATGGCGTTTCTATTTGATGAATGCGTAAATTTTTATTAATAACGATTTCATCAACGACTTTACATCTTTAATCTACATTGAGCTGTCACTTTTCCCGCAAAATATTGTAACCAACAATGAATTATACAGAATTAGATATATGTATGTATATATATATATATACGTTTGTATGTATGGTACGTTCTTCGTCGCTTGATACTCTTAGCACTCTTGACTACTTATTGGTGTATCCGGTTGTATTGTCCATCCAATAAATTTCAGTATTTAAGTTTAAGCCAGTATAACTGCAGCTCCGATCGTTTGCATGAAAGTCACTGGGATCTGGTCGCTCTGAGGGGTGGGGACGGAGGCAGTTGGGCAATGATTATTTCTGCCGCTAGGGGCGACACTATTCTATAGGCACTATAGTTAACTAATCAACCTGAAATGAAATAATTTACATAGCCCCATTTGTTGATAAGAAATTTTCAAAGTATTTTCTAACCTCTCTACTAGATCTGCTTTTTTATCAGTCATTTTTGCATTCCTCTTTTTCAACTCATTTTTTAATTGACTGATTGTCCAATTGCCATGTGAACATCCATGATATACAAAAAAATTAATCAATATAAAAAAAAATACAAGATACATAGATCGTTTAAATTTTCCCGCAACTAGCGCCCATAGAACAGTGTCAACACCCTTTGCCCTTGTGAAAATGCACTACTATAAAGGATTTTCTACATAAGGGATTTCTGTGATATTATTCCATGTGACTTGCACCTCCCAGAATATTAGTATAGTTTACCGTCTACCTCACTATACATAATCGCAGAAGGCGCAAAAACGTTTGGTCATCTTAACTTTTTAAACCACACAATATGTACACAGAAGTAGATGATGTACTGTACGAATGTTCCGGGAGATACAAAATCATATGGAACAAGAACAACGTAGAAATATTTTTTGTGTGGAAAGGCCTTTAAACGCTAGTAACACTAATCATAAAGTCGACCAGCAAACGATAAATATCGAAATTTTTTCGGATAGTTGTAGCCTTTGTAACTTGTATCTTCACAAACTATATCGTTTCATCTAATCAGATCAATGATCATGGTTCCTGGATAAAGTTGGAGACTATAGTCTCCATTATATATATATTATATATATATATATATATATATATACATGTATATAATATACATATGTTGTTGTTTTGTTATTTAGGTTATATTATTTTGACAATGTGTTTATCAATTAACGATAATTTTTCAATTTTCACGTTTGTATTTTTGTCATTTACAATATATAATAATAAGACTCCGTAATAATAAATTAATAAATAGTTCAATGTGAAGTTTTGTCATGAGGAAAAATGTTAAGTGTTACAGAACTGCAAATGATTTATTGTCCCAATCTTACTGTAACGGAATTCAAAAGTAAAGTGCACATTTTTTTTCGTGTATTAAAATAAATGATAAATAATAAGGCTTTCTTTGATACATTTTTAATAAATTAATTAATTTTTACAGAATTGCAGGAACTGATAATGTTATTACAAACGATTTTCATGTATCTAACAAAATATTGGATAAACGTAAAAGAGCATGGAACCATTTATTTAAAAAATACGGTACTATGGTAATTATGTTCTTAAGTCTATTTTTATTTTATTTTTCAATAAAAAAATGTGCCTAGTAAGAAGGAAGAAAATAAAACATCTTGAATGATATTCATAATTTATAAATCTACTTATTCATCAAAACTTCTATTGAACAAAATTTTTTCTAAAGTTTTTATTGTGAATCTATAAAAACAATTTCCTTTCAGATATCTGAAGCTGAGTTGAATATAGATACATTACAATTGAATGAACCAATGAATCTAACAGAAGTAACAGAGCAACGTTTACCTATGCGTAAACCATTGTCGATGGTGCAATATTGGGTTGATACTGGAAACCTGCTACATATAAACTGCACAAATGGTCCTATATACTCTGACTCAGGATCTTCTATCCTTGAAGATGGTAGTTGTGAACCTGATCAATATATTGATATTCAAAGTTTTGCTACAGATCTTAGTGGAGAAGAGTATATTACAGAAACTTTAAGCAATAAAAATGTAAAGATTGTTACATCATCTAACAGTTCTGTAGACACTGCAGCTTATATTTTGGCAAATAACAATATTACAAAAAAAGCAGAAACTATAGCTATTGTAGAAGGTTCAAAAGTTGATACTGAAATACATTGTTCTGATAAACCTTCACAAATTGTAAAAATAAGTAAAAATACTGAAAAATTCAGTTTAGCTGAAAAAAACAATCATGAAAAGTCAAAAGTGGCTAGTGCTAATTTATTACAATCATTCTTGTTTAAAAGTTGTGTAGATAAAATAAATAAAAATTCTAAAAATCCTAATTTAGATAAAATATCTATGAAAAAGATAAATTCCAAATCAAAATCCCAACAAAACAATATGTGTTCAATATTTTTCAGTGACAGTGACGAATCTATTGCCAATATTCAAATCAATGAATTTCAAAATATTCAAAATGGAAATAATTATCAAAACAGTGATAATGTAAGCAAGTTTGTTAAACGTAAAAAGTTATATAACCGATCAGATTCTCCTGCTGAATTTACTCCAGTATCTGAGGATAATTTGAGCTTACAAACATCACAAACAATATTACGAAAATGCTTGCCACTTAGAAAAAGTGAACATCCAGCACTAGAAACTCCTAAGAGATGTCAAAAGTTCTTATTCCGTGCAAGACATAGACAGACAAAATTTAAAAGAAAACTAAATCATCATCACTGTGATTCTTTGACATCTACAAGTAATGAAAAAAATATAAATAAAAAATTATTGGAGTCAAATGAAAACAATGTAAATTCTCATTCTTTGTACAATTCTGAAATTCAGAAAATTAGGAACTATAATATTCAGACCGATTCTAAAGAAAATAGTATTACAGATAATAATCTAATAAGTCAAACAAGTTCTGGAAATCATATTCATATGAAAGAAAGTTATATTCAAAACAGTACGAACAATATTACACAGTTTGATTTGAATCAACCGGACAAAATACAAAAACCATTCACACCCAGAATAAATTGCCACAGTAACTCTAATGCATTTAATAAAAATAAGTTTCAGTTAAAGTCTTGTAGGATTGTTATTCAAAGACTTCCCTATAAGTATTATTTATCAAACTTGAGTAAAAATAAAACAAAAAGAAAAAACTTACTTGATTCAGTGAAATCCAAAAACATTAATATTATCAATAAAAACTTACCTAATTGTGCATTAACATCAAATTCAGTTTTAAGATATAATGCAACAACTTTAACTGAAAATAACTCTGATATTAAGTCAAATAAATTCATAACATTTAATAATACAAAAACTTTCAGAGATATACTCAATTGCAGAAAAAAAGCAAAAAAGACATTATATAATAGTTTTGATTATTCTTCATCAAATATTCATCCCACTGAAAAGGTATTGATAGATCATTCAAAAATGACATGCAATCGAAACTCATACAATAAAAAATCAAAGTATGTGATAGCAAATTCATCTTCAGATGAATCAGATTGGATAGTACCTATTTCAAGTATTGAAACTAAATCCATGAGTAATTCAAGAAATTTTTATAATAAATGTTCAAACATAACTGATGAAGACAGTAATCAAAGTAGTCCAGATATACAAAAGAAAATTCTACAAACAATTAAAATAAATAGTAATACAGACGATGTACAACATAATAAGATAAAGGAAAATATCCTTTTACATAAAGCGCCTGCCCGAGATTGCAAGAATCACAAAAACAAAATAAAAAACACATTAATCACGTTGTCCTCTAGTAAAGAAAAAATGCCCAAAATAGAAAAAAATCGAGCTATTGACTTAGCTATTGAAAATAAACCGACGATTAAATTTACAAGTGCTATTTCAAATGGATCTAAAAATACTCCAAATAGCATTCGGAACTGCCAAGTGCTAATAAATAGGATTCGTAAAACAAATGATAAATCTGAACTTATAATAACAAACGATAGAAGTATAAATTTAAGGAAAACGCGAAATCGAAAAGAACTGCATGTTGACGATAAAAGATTTAGTAGTGATAATTCAGGAGAAGCGGGTACTCTTTCTAATTTTGCAAGTGATAAGAAACTGCCACGTCAAATATCAGAGTATTTCAATATTAAGAAATTAGAAAATATTCAAAGCAAGAAGTTATCACCAACAAAAAAAATTCAAAATCGAGATAAATCACAAAATATGCAAGATTCAGTAAAGGTAAAAACAATAACTACTCAAAAAACTTTAACAAAAAAGCGAAAAAGTTTTGAAATTGATTTATTGTCGGAAGAAGAGTGTATCATACCTTTGAAAAAGAGAAAAAATAAAAACTAGAAAATAAATATAATCTATAAGGCTTGGTCAATAAAAAGCGCTCTAGAAGCAATTTATTTATAAATATAATGTACCATGTATAAATAATAGGTATCCATGGAGGACTTAAGAAACATTGCAATTAATAAATCAAATCTTTCAAAATAATTAACTTTCCATAAATTTTCAACTTATTCATTGATTTAGCCAAGTATGGGTCAATTTTGAGCTAATAAAAGTAATAATATCAACAAACAAGTAATGATTTATTTCTAATATAAATAAATCATTAATATATTAACACAAATATTGATCGTTTTTGCATCCAGTTATTTTCAAGAAAAATAATTATTAATTGATATAAAAAACGTTGACTTGTACCGATACATATTGTTGTTTAATTTTGTTCATGCAGTGCATAATTAATGTAAATAGAATAGCACTGCATAGTCAGTTTTCTCCCCGTTCAATAACTCATTGTCATAAATTTATTATCTTGTGATGTTTTCTTAATAACTTTGTATGTTCTACTTTGATCTTTATTAAAAGTCCTCCAGAAATACGGATTATGTACATTGTTATGCGTTAATTATTTTTGTAATAAACGCAGACAAGTATGCTGTTGTTTAGAACCTACATAAATATTTTTAGAATGATCCGTGAATAGCATTACAAGAAAGTTATGTGAAAGTATTGACTAATAGACTTATTCATATTTTCTATGGTCTATGATAAAATAAAATTGTGAGCTTTTAAAAGTTTGTTTTGAATAAAATGAAAACCTAGTCATTTGCGACTACGAATACGTTATATTTGTATCGCCACTAGTTCTCCAAGTGAAAAGATGTAAACTGCTCTTTGTAATATTAGGAAAGATTTTAATATTTATGGCATTTATGAATTATATTCATATTGTTAATGGCGAAGGAAAATTATTATTCTTACCCAATTGTAACCATTTTACTAATTGAATTTGTCATTTGATTATTGTTACGTTCACTATGCTTTCGGTCAAAGTGGAGTATTAAAAATGAAATTTCAAGTTTTATCACAAATAATATATTGTTTTTGTTTGTCTTTCAAATAACGAATTGTGCTTATATATGTTATCTTAATAGCTGATATTTAGTACTCAGATGAAAAATGACATTCACCTGATGCCGTAGCTAAGTTTTTATAAGAAGAGAGGTATATCTTAAAATTAAGAGTAGAGCAAAATGATTAGTGCTGATTTATTTAGGCCAATATTCTACTAAATGACCTTTTGATTGATGCTGCAAGTAATATCTAGTTTGAATTGAAATTCGATAATTGTATCTGCGATGCAAATAGAAATATAGCGTGATAATTTGCAATAACATTAATTTGAATTCGAGAAAGAATTAGAAAAAGAAAATGAGGAAACATTCGCGTCCAAGCAAGTAGATTGGGGGGAGGTTTAATGAATTGCGGTAAAAGCGTAGCATTTCTGTTGGATAGGTATATTTTTTGTAAGTTATAAAATCTGATAAACATCTATCGGGAAGCAGAGCCGATAATATGATGCCTCGATAGCAGCAAATGATGAGGTTGTGATACGTAGCCTTGTAAAACGATACGTTGCCAACTGAGGTTTTTCAGGCGACTTCTTTCCAAATGCTCTATCGGATCGAAGTCTAATCTGCAAGCCCCAAAAAGCGAAGGCCATATCTTGGTTTTAGTCAACATCATCTGTATCCATGCGACAAAAGATCCCGGTTTGTCTGGCAAATGCTCCATAAAGAGATACGTGCCACCCTTGAAACAAAGTGGTCAAGTCGAGGATTGTTGCATTAAAAAAATTGGAGCAAATAGGAAGCGCCGCTTACGGGGGCTAGAACTCGATGAATTTCCCGAAGCGTGTCGGTAATCGAGTCGGTTGAGCAAAGTGATCGCGTGGTGACGACAACGTCAACGCAACCCGTCGGAACGGCTCTCATACAACTGCCGTCGCCGATAATGAGGCGCTCGAAGATCACGTGAGCAAACTGCCACGATCTGTCTCCATTGACAAGGTACTCTCCTAGCTTACGATTCCAGTCTACTCCTATGAAGTGAGTCCCTTCAGGGTAATATTGAATATTGTCACCTGCAAATTCGCACAGTTGAAGCTACCCGTTTGCCAAATGGCCGTACCGATATTCAAAGATAGTTAACCTGTTTTCACGCCTATTTCCAGGATTCTTATGCGATTCAAGGATCGCAACAGCTCGTCGTGCGAGACTGTTTGTCGCAGTACCGAGAACAGGCGCTTTTTGTGGGCCGATGCGAGCTGCGCACATTCGCATTCGAAGCCCAGTAGGAACGACTTGAAATGATTTTGCCGGAATCGCGACCAGCTCCACGAAAAGACGATTAGCGCACATGCACTGACCAGAAGCGCAAGCCCGTACGTCGTTATAAGGTCGCGCATCCACAGGTCGCCGCTGCTCATTGTCGGAGGTTACTTTGTCCGGCGGTCCAAGCTGCTGCAGCCGAAGCTTGCCTGTCTGCTTCCGTCATGACCGAACTGTTACAGCCGGTGAGACACTGCAGCGGCACCGCAGAGCCGTCGCTGCTCGTACACTGGTCGGACGTCGACATTCGAGTGTCGGCGATAGGAGCAGCGGTCCAATCGCGCTCGATAAGATAAATGTGGCAAAGCGACGAAAGCTCGAGAGCGCGAGCAGCGCGAGCAGCGCGCCGAGCCAGACGCGGCCGTGCTCGGTGCCCGCGGTGGCCGTCAGTGGGGTTGGCCGGGTGCGGCGCTGCCAGGCGAGAGGCAGGGCAGCGAAGCGGAGAGACGCGAGCACCAAGCCGAAACAGCGGTCGGGCTCGGCGAAGCGAGAGAATGGGCCAGAAACAAGAGGCTCAGCGAGCAGCGAGGCCGCGCGCGCTCGCTCGATCGCTCGATCGAGCAGGCCGCCGCGGCGATCCGTAGGCGTTTTGTTGTTTCGTCGCTCGCCGAGCCGTGCAAAGTCGCGCGCCGCCGCTTTCCCATGCGGCCCGTGCTCAGCGGTAAGCCAATTCGCTGACGCGCCGTCGCCGAGCATCGTTGAGCCGCGACGATTGCGCCTCGCCTTGCCGGAGCGATCGCGGCGGAGGGCGCCCAGGGCTCTTTTCAGCCGCGCCGCGCGAAAGCGGATACGCCTCGGCCCTCTTCGCTCGGGAGGAGCTTGCGTAGCCGACGTCGGCGCCAGCATTGTCTCTGCCATTGTTGCCGATTCCTGATCAATATTTGCACAATATGGCGCCATTGTCCGCGGGCACGAGCCAAGCACGAGCGCCCGCCTACTTGACACGAAGCGCATGCTGCTCTGCGCGCTGCACCGACTGCGCCTTATCAGCCTTCTGCCGCTGACGACCACTGCCGTGTCAGAGATTCGAGCACTAGCCGGCCACGGCGCCACCCACTGTTTTCATCCCCTTTGCCCTGCGCTTCTCCTTCCTGCTTCCCCGAAAAATAAAAAGAAATCCAACCAGCCTGTTGGCCCAAATTTATGGCAGCCATACAAACACTCGGATGGCGGATTTTCACGCTTTTCTCTGCGTTGCTATACGGCTACTTCAGAGCCGAACATTTTTTTTTTTACGAGTCGGGCTTTCTTCTGCGGACAGCCCAAGAGTGCGTAGATAGTCGGTCTGAATATTTGACTAAGTATAGGCCATCCGATGACACATCCGATGCGCGTGCTGCAATTGCGAGCAGTTTTTCAACTAAACTGTCAAATCAATACGATAACTACGAGTGTTTCTGGTCGAAGGTCTGCTGCACGCGAAAGCACGTTTCAGCGAGTGACAAACGATGGACTCGGATAACGGGACAAAGAAGAAGGATCCGCGAAGATCATTTGTTCGGCAGTCATAGATAAGACGGATGCATCGATCTCGTGGTACAAGCAAGATCGGTGTACTCATTTGTCGCAAAGACGCCAATATTAACGAATAGCGAGAAACGCGACAAGGTGGAACGTTGCACGCGAGGCGTGGAGTAGTCTTGGCTCGAGAGTCCGGGAGGCGAAGGAGCTCTGCGCAAGTGGAGCGAGAGTGAGGTCGCCTGACTAACGAGGCGACGCGCCTCAGCGGCCGGGTTATATGGTGCGTGTTAGTCATGTTTGTCGCGTGTCCTCGCGCGACCCGGCGGGGGTGGTCTCTGCTCGACCTTACGACTCGGACTGCAGCTAAGCGTCGTTACGATTTTGGCGCGTGCAGCAGTGGAGTACAGCATGGGCGGGCTGTATGACCCTGGCTGACGCATCCATCGTTACAGCTCGAGCGCCTCTCGTTCGGCATTGTCATCGGTTATGACTTGTTGACGCTGCGGGTTAATGCCTTTACTGGTTTCTCGATGACGGCAGGCGTGACCTCAGTTTCGCAACGAACGACCACGCGACCGATCCGCTGACGTGCCCCGTTCCTCTGTGCACAATGCAGCGGATAATCGCCTTCGACAAAGCTCCAACCGGGGAGGTCGTCAGCAGCATCTTTCAAATGTCCTCGATTCTTCTGCTCTATGGATGAGCACTGGCAGCTTGGCCACCAGCGAGCTTTTTTCGTCGCATCGTCGGCACTAGCCTCCCCCCTTCGGCTGCAGGAATGATGGCGCGCGAAGTAAAGGGTGCCTGTGCTGTCGGGCCAGACGAGGAATTCGGCGTGAGTCGTGGTCCGCAGCAGCAGCAGCAGCAGCAGCAGCAGCAGGGCGTCTTGTCGCATGCTCGAGGCACGAGGCAGCATTTTTATTTCCTCGGCAATTCCAGGGAACGGCGAGTCCAACCTGACACTATTGTCCAAACAATGCCTCGGACCCGAGACTACTAAGTGCTAATGTTACGCGTTTTCGAAAAACTCCCGCGGCGAGGCAGCCCGCTCGCGCTAATGTTCTACTTTCGAGGTCTCGGTTAGGCGGACGCTCGCCTGGCCACGATCGTACGAGGCTCGTGGAGCCGCGTGCGGCTGCCGCATGACGTCTCATTCTTCTCCTGCAGCAACTAGCTGACAAGCGACGCTCGGTTCCGCTCAATTTTTCACTCGCGCAACACTTGCCGAATTCCACCTTAGCCATCGGCGTTCTCCAGCTTACGCTGTTCCGCCGCCGCTGCGCCTTTCAAAATCATTCCTTTACCGTTTATCCCTTACTTCGAGATTGTGCAACGATTGTTGCACGGTAGCCCCGCTCGCCAATGTTTATTGGCTCGGTTCACCGCTCAGTCCGAGTAATAATTCCGCTGGTCTTGGACTCATTTGGTTAAATCGAACGCACCATCAACTATGATTAATGTACTTTGAGCATTGGTTTGAATCTTGATAATGACTAGCACTTGGTCACCGCTTCGTTGCACGCGTATGAAAGGATCGTTTTTTGAAATGGCGATGCTCGAGAGGGATCGTCAGCAAAAAACGCAGAGCCTGGTCGCAGATGGAAAAACAATGCGAACGCCAGATTGGGCATGAAAGGGGTGAGCGACTGTGCGGAAAGCATTGACGCGGGCTGGAAGCTGCTAGTGAAATCGACCGAGCAGGTCCTCTCGCGGCGTGCAACGCGGATTACAACGTATCGAAAGCGCGCGATGCAAGGCTCCAAGCAGATGCCGTCAATTGTTAATTGTCACTTTTCTCTGGCCTCCTTCGCGTCGGCTCGCAACTCGACTGATTCGTCACTCACTGCCTGGCCAGCTTCTACGAAAGCACCCATCTAGCGCCCAACTATCACGCGCAGCTCACTTGCAAACGCAAACAATATTTCACACAGCTGTCTACGTGTGATCGCGCTATGTCTTCCTTTATCAAGCTCAGCTCTGCAAACTGCGTGTTAATACAGTTATGCTTGTGCCTGAGACAGCGGATTCCAATAGTCACTCTTAAAATGCCTATCGTCAATTTAGATAACGGCTAATAATCTGACGATAATTCAATGCCAAACTCAACGTTCTAATTGCCGACCACTCTCAACAACTATCAAATTGTCTATTTTAATAATATAAAATAATATATTATTTACAAATAAAATCTTATTGTACACTTTCATTTCCACGCTGTAAATTTCATATGCGACGGAAAGTTAAATTAGATGGTCTTCAAGTGCTGTTAAGCAATCAATATAACAAAATGCTGTAATGCTCTACGTGAACTGTATGTTGTACAAATTATTGCTTCGGATTCCCATTTTGTACACGAGGAAAAACAATTTTTTTAACTGTAATCGTACACTTGCACGCTTTCTACTAATTTAAATCTAATATGTTGTACATATACGTGTCACTGCAATATATATAAGGTCAATAAAACGATTAAGATAATTTGAAAAAGCATTGTTCCGATGGTTCAGATGAAGTGTGAAGTATCGTTAGGCGTAGACTAACTAGTAATTGCGGCACGAGCAATTTCGAGGTAAATACGTTTTAATTAGTAATGCATAAATTACATATAAGGAATATATTTGGCAACGTATTTGAAGTGAGGTGTTTATTGATGCGATCATGGAGAATGCGTGAAAAGAATCGCATTATCGTTCTAAAAACACGTCCTCTTGGATGGTCGCAAAGCTCGCAGGAGACATGCTTAGACCGTTGAAGAATCGACTGATAAATTCGACAAAGCGAATGGAAGATAAAAAACGAAATAGACAATCGGACGATTGACGAGATCGCGAAGAGGAGAGGAATGGCGAATTAAGCTGTAAGCCGCAGAGCCGGAATGGTTCTTTGAAAATTCCGAGCAACATGATTTATGCTGAAAATACTTAGCGGCCATGATTAGGGTTGATAATTAAGTCGGCACAGGAGGAAAAGGCAGGGATTTGCACGTGGAGAGAATCGAGGAGTCCTGGCGAGTTGTCGACGTAACGCGAAGCGAGGAGGCATTGTGAATAAAGCCGCAAAGCTTTTGTCGGGTCTCATCAGTGTCATGCTTCGTGAAAAGCGAAAAAGCCGAGGACTCGCAGGCTCCAAGAAGAAAAGCCGGTAAAGTCATTAGCACTTGCAACTCGCTCGGCTCAGCGGGCGCATGACTCTCCAAAACGTCTTCACTCAGAAATATTCCCCTAACCGAGGCCCATTTGCATTCTCTCGCCGCCAAGAGACCTCCGCCTGTAAAATAAATCTCTTCCCGAACTTATCGTCGCCGTCGATTGTCCCCGTTTGCGAGTCGAGCCGAGGCGCGGACAGCGACGACGCAACGCTCAGTTGCGCTCGACGCGACGCGGCCCAAATAAACAGATTGCAGCAGGTTCGATGTCGGCCGCCAAAACAAAGCAGCGTGCAAGCAGGCAAGCCGCAAGTGGGTGGTGGTTCAGGCAGCCGCGGCGAGTCCCGAGAGTCCAATATGCCGCGCGCAAGAAAGGCCGACCAGGCTTGGGGCTTCGGGGGCGGCTGCCGGCTACCATTGCCGGCCCGCGTTAATGCCTCGTGCTCGCCTGCTTATAGATCGCAGCCTCGGCGCCGCTCCGTATTTATCCTG